CCCCCCGGCTGGGACACGGGGAAATCCCGGCCCCCCAGTGCAGGACACCCCCGCACTGCCCGCCCCCGGTGTCTGCCCGTGGCCCGGACCCTCCCCTGCTGTCCCCTCGGTCCCCTCGGTCCCCGCTTCTCTGTCACTGTGGTATTTGGAGGCTGCATGATCCCCCCCAATAAAGCACCAGCCCTGTGCCCACCCTGCTGCTCTCTGCGTGCCCACCCCCGCTCCGGGGGTCACCGGGGCTGGCAGGAGAGGCTGGCAGCTCCCGGTGACACCGTGCCGCCGCACCCGGTGACGGCAGCCGCGGGCAGTCCCAGCCCCCCCATTTCGGGTGTCCGTGGCTTTGATGTGCCCGAGCGGGAGCTCGCCCCGCTGTGCCACGGCCCCGAATCCAGGGCACGGAGCGGGGAGAGGCGGCGACGGAGCCAGCCCAGCTGCCCGGCACACGGCCGCTGCCACGTGCTGTGTGCCATGGGCTGTGTGCCATGTGCCGTGTGCTGTGTGCCATGGGCTGTGTGCCATGGGCTGTGTGCCACGTGCCATGTACTGTGTGCCATGTGCTATGTGCCATGTGCCACATACCATGTACTGTGTGCCATGTGCTATGTGCCATGTGATATGTATCATGTGCCACATGCCATATACTGTGTGCCATGTGCCCTGTCTATGTGCAATGTGCCACACGCCATGGGCAGTGTGCCCTGCCTCACACCATGTGTCCCCAGCTGTGTTCCGTGTGCCATGTATGTGCTGTGTGTGTATCCTGTGCCACAGGCCATGGGCCATGCACCACGGCCACCTGTGCCATGTACTGTGTCATGTCCCACGTGCCGTGCATGCTGTGTCCCACGTGTCTGTCTCGTGTGCCACATGCTGTGTGCCACATGCTCTGCCATGTGGCACTCAGTGTGGCATACTCCGTGCATCTGTTCCGTGTGACATGTGCGCTGTCGTGTGCCAGGCGCTGCGTGCCCTGTCATGTTCCCTGTGCCACGTGCTATTTGTCATGTGCTCTGTGCCACGTGCCATGTGATGTGTTCTGTGTGCCATGTTCTGTGTGCCCTGTGCCATGTGCTGGGTGCCATGTTCCTTTGCCATATTCCATGTTCCATATGCCACGCATTGTGCTGTGCCACGTGCCGTGTGCTGGGTGCCATGTTCCTTTGCCATATTCCATGTTCCATATGCCACGCATCGTGCTGTGCCACGTGCCGTGTGCCGGGCACTGTGCCATGCTGCTGCCACACGCTGTGTGCTCGCGGTGCCGGCAGATGCTCCTGGCAAGGCGGCATCCCCAGGAGCAGGGTGTGCCCAAGGCCACCACAGGGACTGAAGCTGGAGCCTGGCACAGCCTCACGGGGTAGGGGCCACCCGGGAGCTGCTGTGCAGTGCCAGGGAGCTGGGCTCCAGGATGCTGCCACCTCCCTGGGTGCAGGTACAGCTGCCAGGCTGGCCCCGTGCGGGTGTCACTCTGCGGGACAGCCCGGCTGGCCCTGGGGCGCTGCTGGCACACAAGGCACGGGCAGGGGCGCAGTACCTGCACCCCCATGCAGCCCCTATTTATAGCTCCTGATTCATCTCCTTTAAGGCGGATCCGGGGTGTTGCCGTGGAAACCCAAACCTGCAGCAGGGAGGCTGCAGCAGGGCCGGTCCTGGGGCGGGCAGGAGCTGCCCTGGCACCCAACCCATGGGGACAGATGGGTACCCCAGGGTGGCTGCAGAGGGACCCCGCGGGGCTGGGAACGTCCAGAGACACCACGCGGGGTTGTCCCTGCCGGCAGGAGGGGCTGGCAGAGGTGGCAGGGTGACACGGCTAGCAGAGGGGGCAGGAGTGGCAGGACACCGGTGCCACCGTCCCACAGACCCCACGGAGGGTCTCACCAGCTGTCCCCTCTCAGCCAGCCCTAGCCCAGGGTGGTGCCAGGGCAAGCCCCCAGCCTGCTCACCCTGCAGGGGCAGGGTAGGGGAGCCGGTTATTCACTGAGCCTCTGCTTGCAGCGGGGCTCCACAGGGCAATTCCTTGGAGGTGGCAGCAGAGGGGCTGGGGGGCTCGGGGTGCTGCCTGCCTGGGAGACCCCAGGGTGCTGGGGGGGTGGAACAAGCCCCTCCGTGCAAACACCCCAGGAGGGGAGAGGGGCAGGGGGATGCATCCAGCCAGGGTAGTCGGGGCAGAGGGCTCTGGAAGGGGATGGGCTGGGAGGGAGACTCCGGGGGTCGGGCCCTGGGTGCTGCCGAGGGAGCCACCGTGGCCGTGCTGTGCCCGTGCCCGGCCCGTGCTGCCCACCCGGTCATTGCCCCGTTGTCAGTACGGCTCCCGGGGATGCGTCCCCACCCCGATGTGCTCCTGATAAGAGCAGCTCTTCCCGCCTCACACCCCTGGGATTAGCTGCCTGCCTGGGAACAGCAATAAATATTTATTTCCGCAGGGCGGGATGGGCGGAAAGGGGGGTCACGGCCACGCGTCCCCGGCCGGGGAGAGCGAGGCCACGGGGATGGCCACAATGCATGGCCGGAAAGGTTCCCCGCCCCCAGGGATGTGGGACGGTGCCACGGCCCCTCACCGGAACCCCCAGCCCCGTGGGAGCCCCCGGTGCCGGGGTGACACGGGGGGTGTTTTATGGGGTGCCTGAGGGGGTCCCGGCAGGGTCTCCACGAGGTGGTTGTCAGCAGGCGAGGGCTCGGCGTCCCCCCAAAGCCCGGGCCCGTCAGGCCATGGGCCATTGCGAGGGCAGCTCCGTGTCCCCCATCTCCTCCTGGTAGCGCCGGTTGAAGAGGGCGTTCTGCTCGGGGGAGAAGTGGCTGCGCCAGTCCCCCACCACCCCTGTGGCACCGAGGGACGGGGAGTCAGGGCTGCTGCGCCCGCGGTGCCCAGCGCCCCCGGCCCCTTCCCCCTCACCCTTGCGCATGAAGCGGCCCTGGCTGTGGTCCATGATCTCGGCGGGGATCAGCGAGTAGTTGGCCATGGCGTTGTCCCGCATGGCGGAGAAGCTGCAGTGCTGCTCCAGGGCTGCCAGCGTGCCCGGTGCCAGCGGGCACCCCAGGAAGTCGCTGAGGCGCTGCGCCGTGCCACGCAGGTCCTGGGCAGGAGCACGGTCAGCACCGGGCAGCGGCGGGGACGGGGACAGGACGGGGCCGCAGCGGGGCTCACCTGGTGCAGCTCCTCGTAGGTGACGTAGAGGATGTCCAGGAGGTGCCGCTGGCCCAGCCAGCCCTTGACGTGGTCAAACCAGGAGCCGTAGTGCACTGGGGGGAGGAGGGGGTGACGGGGGACCCCGAGGCTGAGTGTCCCCCCACACACCCCCCCAGTCCCTACCTGTGCCCTCGAGGAACTGCGTCAGGAAGGCATCGAAGGAGCTGGGGTCGGGCAGGAACTTGGCCAGGTGGTGGAAGTGGTAGAAGGAGACGGCGACGTCTTTGGGGTTCCTGGCCACGTAGATCACCTGGAGGGACGCAGTGTCACCCCCACAGCGGGGGGATTCCCCTCCACCCCGCTCAGAAAGCCCCCAGCGTTTCCCCAGCTGTGGGATGTCCCCGCAGGGACCCCCAGACCAGCGGGGACCCCTCTGACCTTGGCCTTGCTGCGCTGCAGGGCGGGGGCCAGGACGTGGGCGGGCAGGTGGGTGGTGAGGAGCCGCGGGGTCTCGGCGTCCCGCAGCGCCTCCCGGCAGTAGATCTGCTCCAGCCAGGGCGCCCGCTCCCAGTTGGGGATGGTCTTGGCTGGGCGGGCATCGCCGAGGCTGAAGAGCAGCGTCAGGATCTCCTGCATCCAGGTGGTGCCTGCAGAGGTGGGTGTCAGGGCAGGGCCACGGGCCCGGCACCATGGATTGGCACATCACGGCGCTGTATGGCACAGCACGGATTGGCGCGGCAAGGCACGGCTCAGCCTGTCCCATCCCATCCCTCCCAACCCCTCCTGTGCCAGCGGCTGGGCTGGCAGTGCCGTGTGCCCCCTCCCTGAGCCCCAGGGACACCGGGCTGGGGCTGGGGACGGGAGGGCAGCAGGACAGGGCTGGGGCAGGACCTGCTGGCCAGCGGTGCCCGTGCTGTGCCAAAGAGTGGCCGGGGGCACCGGGTCCGGGTGTCTCCGAGCCCCCCGGCGGCCCTGGAAGAGCTCCCCGCTGCCGCCCGGTGTCCCAGCCCCGTCCCGCCGCATCCCCTCGTTGCCCCCGTGTCCCCCCATCCCCTCACCCGATTTGGGGTAGGTGGCGATGAGCACGTCGCTGGGGCGGAAGGTGAAGGCGGCGGCGAAGCCGAGGGACTCCTGGGTGTGGAGGTGGCCGGGCAGGGCGATGCCCGCGAAGGTCTCGGTCACCTCCATGCGCTCCATGGCCCGGCCGGGCGGGACGCGCCGGGAGCCGCTTAAATAGCGGCGAAAGAGGAAGCGGCCCCGGCGGGCGGGGGGCCGGAACCCCCCGCGCATTCCTGCCCGGGAGCCGGGAATCCGCGCTGGGGCCAGCGCCGGGAGAGCGCCGCTGGCGGGGGCTGGAGACACCCGGGACGGGTGCGGTGGGGTGGCGGTCCTGCCTCCCCAGGCCCAGGAGCCGGGAGAAACGTGGGCGCCGCGTCACCTCGGGAAGGAGGCCAGGAAACCCGAGGGATGCCAGCCCCACACCGTGCCCACGCCGAGCTCCCCGCGGCTGGCACGGCAGGAGAGGGTTCCCATCCCAGCACACCGCAGGATGAGGTGTCCAGCTGGGCCGGCCATCTCCACGTGGCTCCATGCCATTCTCCAGAAGTCCCAGCAAGGCCCTTCTGGCTGGGAAGGACAGCACAGCTGGAGCCAGCCGGGATGCGCAGCATCCGCTGGATGGCCGTGCCTCAGTTTCCCCTCGGGACGCTGCAGCGGCACCGGAGTGCGGGGGATCCAAGCACACACGGAGGAGCAGCAGCAGCCCCACACCACGGCCGTGCCAGCCCGGCTGCTTGCCCCCGGGCATGTGGCTGCTCGGCGCCAAGGCGGGGGGCGGCTCTGGGGTGGCTGGAGCCCATCCCAGCCCCGTCACCGCACGCAAGCCGGAAAAGTTAATTCACAGGCGTCGCAGGCAGGGACTGCCCCAGCGTCCCGGGGCCGGGGTGAGCGGGGCCGGGGGTGCCGGGGGTGCCGGGGGTGCCAGTGCTGGACTGGGGGTGCCGGTGCCGGGGAGGCTGAGGAGAGGATGGGACTGGCACTGTCCCAACCAAAAAGAATCTGGGCTTCATTAGAGGATTGGGAGCGTCACCGCGGCTCGGAGGAGAGGCCGGGGCACGGCGCAGCCACCGGGGCTGGGCTGGGGGAGGCCGCGGAGCCCTGGCACTGCCAAGCGGGCACAGGGCACCCAGGGAGGGGTAACGCTGCGCTCCTGGTTATTCATTGACGGTGGGAGGGGACGGAGGAGCTCGGGGCAGCCATCCCAGCGCATGTGCTCTCACGGTGGTGGCAGGTCCCCCCTTGTCCCCAGCAGCACCCAGCAGAAGATGCCAGACAGCAGCGTGTGGGTGCTGGCGCCGGCACTGACGCTGGCACTGGTGCTGGCACTGGTGCTGGCACTGCCCAGCACTGGAGAGCAGCACCTGGAGGAGGCCGAGCGCATCATGAGCACCACGCCGGTCATCGACGGGTGAGCAAAGGTCGCCTGGCCCCGCAGCGTGCCCGGCTGCTCCTCTCTGTGGGAAAACCCCAGCTGGGAAACCTGCGGGGACAGCCCGGGGGGGATTCCGGGGCCGGGCACCCCTCGGCTGTGCGGGAACGGGGAGCAACTTTCCCTGGGGATCCCCGTGCCAGGCACCCCAGGCTTTTTGGAACAGGGGACAGCTTTCCCGGGGATCCCCGTGCCAGGCACCCCAGGCTGCTGGGGACAGGGGACAGAGCTCTCCTGGGGATCCCCGTGCCAGGCACCCCAGGCTGCTGGGGACAGGGGACAGCTTTCCCGGGGATCCCGTGGGACCGTCTGTGCAGCCCAGGGGATCCCCGGCGCCGCAGCCCGGCGGGAGTGGGCAGGGTACCGGGAAGCCGTGGTGAGGCTGCCCCGGGGGAAGTTCCTGCTCAGTCCTGAGTGATGTCCCTGGTCCTTTCTCGGGACCCTCAGGAGGCTCCGGTCCCCTGCAGCATTCCCTCGTGGAGCAGTGCTGTGCCACCGGAGCAGCGCAGGGGAGCAGGGGATGCGGGACTGTGCCAGGAGCAGGAAGAGGCACCCAGCCCGGACGCTGCCACTTCCCCAGTGGCACTGCTGGGTGTGGGATGTGCCTGCCAGGGTGTCCCTGCGGTGACATCCTGGTCAAAGGGATGTTGGGCTGGCTCCCCTGGGTGTGAGGGCTGATGATGGGTTGGAAAGGGACACAGGGAGGGTCCTCCGGGGGGTCCCACATGGCACTGTCCCCTGGGAGTGACCTGTCTCCAGTTCCTGTCTGGAACTGCTTGGGTGGCTTTTGGCTGAGGGGACACGCGGGTGGGCAGATGGACCCAAGGTGGAGGATGGGGGATGGATGGATGGATGGATGGATGGATGGATGGATGGATGGATGGATGGATGGAATGACAGCCAGATGAGGGGACTGTGTGTGTGGCAAGCCAGGAGGGTGGGCAGCCTGAGGGCAGAGGGTCAGACCACTCCTCAGTGCCCACCCTGTCCCTGTCCAGGCACAATGACCTGCCCTGGCAGCTCCTCTGGAAGTTCAACAACCAGCTGAGGCTGCCAGCAGCCAACCTGACACTGCTGAACGACACCCACACCAACATCCCCAAACTGCGCCAGGGCCACGTGGGTGGGCAGGTGGGAGCAGCGGGGTGGGCATTGGGGTGGGCTCTGGGGAGGGCAGGGGCACCAGTGAGGATACCAGGGCGGGTGGG